GCAGACGACAGGGGAGCAGTTCGATGAAGGCACATCGAGCGACGTGGTGGAGGTGCAGCCCGGACCTCGGAAGTCGGGCCGAATTCGGAAGCCACCCGACTTCTTCGTCCCCGCTGCCTTCACCACGGTGTACGATGTGGATGACGATGACCTTGCATACGATGACGCCGAGGACGATGAGGAGTTTTCGGAGCTCGACCCCGACATGCACGCCGATCCCGATGTCAGAACATATAGCTTACTTGTTTGTGTAGGCTATAGTGGGGTATCCCATAGGGGGTACAACACATTAGGGTTTCCTATTTGTATTCACTTCACTTCATAGTCATTCATTCTCGTTCTTTGTTTTCACATGGTATCAGAGCACAGACGCACTGGCACCTAGAGCAGCAGCCTCACTAGTACCTGACGCGGCAGTACCAATGCCCGGGTCGGGCGGGAAACACCGGTAACAGTCATCCTCATCACTACCAATCGCAGCATACATAGCAGAGAGAATATCATCAAAATCAAGATCATAAATAGCTACACCAGCCCTAGACAGCTCTCCCCAGCGGGGGATCTCAGCTGCCTCCGGAAACTGCTGACGCCAGGCGTCAGTCAGGCGGCCAAAGCAGCGGCGGGCTGTGTGGGCGCCTCCAGTCCTGTACGTAGACAACAAGGCCATGCTGGCCTCGTGTCGAGAGCAGCGACTGGAGCACAGAACGAAGCACATTGCTCTTCGCTACTTTCTTGCTCGTGAGCTACAGCAGCGTGGACAGCTGCGACTTGCGTACGTGGCCTCTGAGGCCAACACTGCTGATGTTTTCACCAAGGCACTTGCGCCTTGTGATCATCAGCGTTGCTGCACGCAGTTGGGTCTTGTGCCTGTCTTGCCTCACTTGCTCTCCTCTTGACCTTGCTTGTACCTTCGCATATATATACTCTTGCTCTTGTATATCTCTATATATGATCTTGCATGTGAACTGGCCTTGTGGCCTTTGAACTTGTGCTCGGAATGCGTGGTGACTTTGTGATCCACCCTGAGCTTTGCTTTGCTTTGCTTGATTGGTCTTGTGACCCCTTGTTCTCCCCCACTTTGCCTATGGGGGTGTGTCAGAACATATAGCTTACTTGTTTGTGTAGGCTATAGTGGGGTATCCCATAGGGGGTACAACACATTAGGGTTTCCTATTTGTATTCACTTCACTTCATAGTCATTCATTCTCGTTCTTTGTTTTCACACCCGAGCACCGTTGGGACATCTCGACCATGACGGTGAAGGAGGCGTTGGCGAGCTGGAAGGGCCCGGCGGTGAAGGCCGCCATGGAGGAGGAGATTCGTAGCCACATCAACATGGGCACTTGGGAGCTGGTCGAACGCCCGCCTTGGGTGAACATAATGAAGAACCGGTGGGTGCTGACAACGAAGTACCGCATCGAAGACACTGTCGAGCGCGAAAAGGCGAGGCTGGTTGTGAAAGGCTTGACACAGGTGTATGGCGCTGACTACGACAAGACGTACGCGCCGGTGAGCAGCTACGTCACGCTGAGGATTTTCCTCAGCATCGTCGCCGTCCTCGACCTCAACCTGATGCAACTGGACATGAAGAACACCTTTTTGCAGAGCAAGCTCGACCACGTGCTGTACATGTACCAGCCTGACTACTTCAACGACGGGACCGGCCGGGTCTGCAAGCTGCTGAAGAGCCTCTATGGGCTAAAGTAGTCGCCGCTGCTGTGGTACACGGCTCTCAACGACGTGTTGGTTGGCGCCAGGTGGAAGAAGAGCCAAGTCGATGAGGCTCTGTACTCCAAGGCCGGCGACGACAAGGTGACCTGCTGGGTGCTGGTCTACGTCAATGACCTCCTCGCCGCGAGCAGCAGCACCGCGATGCTGAAGGAGCTGCTGGAGGCCGCTTTCAAGCTGCGCGAAATTTCGCCGCTGCAGAAGTATCTCGGCCTGGAGATCGTGCGCGACAGGCCGGCACAAAAATTGTGGCTGCACCAGCAGGGCTACGCCGATAAGCTGCGCATGCACTTCATCGACGAGGAGCAGACGGAGCGCACTCCGAAAACGCCGGTCTGCGTCGCCGCCTACGCGGAGCAGACATTCGACGACGAGGAGGCGTAGGAGCGCGAGGAGGAGTACAGGCAGAAGGTCGGCTTGCTGCAGTTCGCGGCGACGACGACGAGGCCAGACATCGCATTCGCGTGCAGCAAGCTGGGGAGTAGCCTCACGGTGAGGAGCGACAAGCACTGGCGCGAGGTCGACCGCTGCCTCGCCTACCTTGCCAACACGCGAGACACCGCCCTGGAGTTCGGCGGTGGTCCGGAGTCAGTGGAGTTGGTCGGCTACGTGGACGCCGACAACGCTGGCGACAAGCAGAACCGGATGAGCACGGGCGGCTACGTGTTCGTCTACGGAGGGGCCGCGGTCTCCTGGTCAAGCCAGGGCATCAAGTGCGCGACGCTGTCGTCGACCGAGTCGGAGTACGTGGCGGCCGTCGAAGCCAGCAAGGAGGGACGTCGCCTATGCTTCCTCCTCGCGGAGCTCCAGCGGCTGGACGCCGGAAAGCCGACTGTCCTCAGGGTGGACAACAAGTCGGCCATCACGGTCGGCGAGGGCATGGGGTTGACGGGCAACCTCAAGCACATGGAATGGCGACATGCCTGGCTGCAGCACATGGTGAAGCGCGGGAAGTTTTCGCTGAAGTACATCCCGACCACTGAGCAGCCGGCAGACTTCCTGACGAAGGCGCTGCACTACCCGGCCTTCAACTGGTGCTCCGTTGCAATCGGCCAAGTGCGCCTAGCCGATGTGGGCGACGGTGACAACGACGTGCAGAAGTAGGTGCCATGCCCTTTTGCATGGCTGGTGCGGTGACTGGCGTGCTGTGCGTTGTATGCACGCCAACGGGCTACTCTCTGATTAGTACTGCCGTGTGGGCCGGGGGGGGGGGGGGGCCCAAGCGTGAACGCGGCAGGGGAGTGTCAATGGGAGTTGTGTTTGGCCCCGTCCTCGCTTGGGCGGAGCTGACGGCGGGAGGACCGTGGGAGCCGCAAAATCGCGGGAGGACCGTGGGAGCCGCGAAATCGCGGGAGGTCCGTGGGAGCCGCGAAATCGTGGGAGGTCCGTGGGAGCCGCGAAATCGCGGGAGGTCCGTGGGAGCCGCGAAACCGCGGGAGGACCATGGGAGCCGCGAAACCGCGGGAGGACCGTGGGAGCCGCGAAACCACGGGAGGACCGTGGGAGCCGCGAAACCGCGGGAGGACCGTGGGGGCCGCGAAACTGCGGGAGGACTGCGAAATACCCGGTCAACCAGGATACCCGGGCGATGTGCCCGAAAGTCGCTGGGGGGTGTTGTCAGCAAGGACGACCTCGGGGTGGTATTCCGAGGTCGACGTGGCTGGTGGGCGCCGTCATGGGTGGAGTGTCTGCGCTGGGCATGTGACGGGGAGTTGGGCGCCAACCAGCTGCACGCACCTGCGAAGCTAGTGCACCATTGTCAAGCAGGTGCAACACTGTGCAGCCGACTTACTGCAGCGTTGGCACATCGCGGGCTTGCAACGTTGGCAAGCCGCGACTCTGCTGGAGCACAGTCAACCAAGTCGTGCTGGCACGCGGTCGACCGTGCTGCGCTGGCAGTCGACCAGCAGCCTTGCTAGGTATGATGTAGTATGTGTTGCCAATGTTGATGCTATCATTCTGCACTTTTGTTGTTATGTTTTCCTAGTGAAATTCTTGCCAATTTTCCCCGTGAACTAGAAAGCCGTGTTAGCACTTGGAAACGACTAAGGAACGAATGAACGCAGAGATCACACGAGCATCCGTGCCTGGCCCATAGTCTAGCTCCCGTTGCACTAGTTATCTCCGCGCTGGTGAGGCTGCTACTCTGGGTGCTCGTGCGTCTCCTACTCTAGGTGCTGGTGAGGCTGCTGCTCTAGGTGCTAGTGCGTCTCCTGCTCTAGGTGATGGTGAGGCTGCTACTCCAGGTGCTGGTGCGTCTGCTCTCTCTGGCACTGCGCCTGCTGAGTCCTAGTACACCTTCACATTTGACTCAGGTGCTTCCCGCTCCTTCTTTCGCGACAGCACCACCCTCACGCCGCTCAGTCAGCCAGTTCCAGTCTCCCCGGCAGACCCCTTTAGGGGTCCAGTCCTTGCGCACTCCTCCCCGGTCTTGCCGTGTCCGGCGGTCTCGTCTGGCTCCCTGTCAGGTTTTCACCTCTCCTCGTTCTCTACGAACTTGGTGAGTGGTGCTGACCTCCAGGACCAGTGGGTTACCAGTTCACTCCTGAAGGTCAGCACGTGACCCACTGTACGTGCTCCCGGACGGGCCGGCACCTGGCCACGTTTACTCGTGCGCCTGGCTCGAGTCTGTACACATTGACTACCGTATCCCCTCAGGTCGCTGCGTCTGCGTCTGCGTCAGGTCAGCTAGCGCCACCCTGCTCGTGTCGCGCTTTGTCGCACCAGACCCTCCTTTGGCACCACCGTCTTGGTCACCCCTCGGTGCAACGCCTTCGTAGCATGCACCGCCGTGTCCTTGTCTCTGGTCTTCCCAAGGTTCTCCCTCCCCTCCCACCCTCGCCTGCTCCTCCCTGTCTTCCTTGTGTCGAGGGGCGGCAGCGCGCCGCTCCTCACTCCTCCTCGTTTCCCCCAACGACTGCTCCCCTGCAGACACTGCACATGGACGTGTGGGGCCCAGCCCGCGTCAGTGGGCAGGACCGCGAGCGGTACTTCCTGCTGGTTGTTGACGACTACTCGCGTTACACCATGGTCTTCCCCTTGCGCACCAAGGGTGAGGTCCCTGATGTTTTGATCCCTTGGCTGCCCGTCTCCAGCTCCGCGAGCGGTTTGGGACGGAGTTTCCCGTCTTGCATCTGCACTCTGACAGAGGTGGGGAGTTTTCCTCCGACCTTCTGCAGAGCTTTTGTCGTGGGGAGGGCATTCTCCAGACGTTCACACTTCCAGCCTCTCCGCAACAGAATGGGGTTGCTGAGCGCCGCATTGGCTTGGTCATGGAGGTCGGTCGTACCTTCATGGTCCATGCAGCTGCCCCCCATTTTCTGTGGCCGTTTGCGGTCCGCTAAGCCGCGCATCAGCTCAACCTCTGGCCCCGTGTCTCCTTGCCGGAGACCTCGCCCACACTGCGGTGAACGGGGAAGGTTGGCGATGCGTCGTTGTTCCGGGTCTGGGGCTCTCGTGCCATTGTCCGTGATACCACCGCGGACAAGCTCTTCGCGCGCGCTGTTCCCTGTGTCTTCCATGGCTTTGTCCCTTACACGCCTGGTTGGCAGTTTTTCCACCCCACCTCGCGCCGTGTCTTCCCCTCTCAGGACGTCACGTTCGACGAGTCGGTTCCCTTTTCCCGTCTCTTCCCCTACCGCACTGCCCCTTCCCCCCCCCCCCCGCCGCTCTTCCTCGCTACAGGTGCTCCCCAGGTAGACCCCCTCTCCGCTCCCAGTCCTACTCCTTGAGGTGTGTCTCAGGTAGACCCTCCTCCCTTGACTGCGCCGGTTGAGGTCACTGGTGACTCAGGTCCTGCTGAGGGTGGTCTTGCTCGGGGTAGTGCTACTAGGGGTGCTGAGCCTGGGGGTGCGGAGCCTGGGGGTGGTGAGCCTGGGGGTGCGGAGCCTGGGGTTGCTGAGCCTGGGGGTGCGGAGCCTGGGGGTACTGAGTCTGGGGGTGCTGAGCCTGGAGGTACTGAGTCTGGGGGTGCTGCACCTGGGGGCGCTGCGGTGTCTGGTGAGCAGTCTCCCTGGAGCGGCCGTCTCCGTAGTCGCTCCGCTGGTGCCTCGCCGCTGCACTCTTGTTGTCGTCTCCCTCTCTCCCCATAGCAGCTGCGTGAGTGGGACGTTAGCCGTCAGGGTCGCGCTGCTGGAGCTAGGGGCCCTGCTGCGGGAAGCGCTGGAGCTGGTGACTTTGCTACTGGAGTTGTTTCTATTGGAGTTCTTGGAGCTGCTGGGACTGGAGGCCCTGCTGGGCCTGGAGGTGTTGCTGTCGACTCTGAGGTTGGAAGCCTTGGAGCTGGAGGTGCCGGCTCTGGGGGTGCTACTGCTGGTGGCGCTGGAGCTGGAGGTTCTAGAGCTGCTGCGGGTGATGGCGCTGGAGGTTCTGGAGCCGTTGGAGGTGCAGACGCTGGTGGCGCTATAGCTAGAGGTTCTGGAGCTGCTGCGGGTGCTGGCGCTGGAGGTGCGACGCCTGAGGGTTCTGAGTCTGCTGTTGCGCGGTCTCCTTGGAGTAGCCGCCTTCGTCCGCGTGTGCCTCTCACCTCACAGCAGCTGCACGACTGGTACGGTCGCCGTCAGAGTCGCGCTTCTGGAGCTCGGGGCTCTGCCGCTGGAGGTACTACTGCTGGAGACCCCAGGTCTGGGGGTGCTGGATCTGGGGGTGCTGCTGGTGGTGGAGCTGGTCCTGGAGGAGCTGGCGCAGAGGCTTCTGGAGCTGCTGGGGGTACTGGAGCTGCTGGTACTGGTGGCGTTGCACAGCCGCGCCTGTTCTTCGCTCCACCGTCTCCGTCGTCTCAGCCACTGCCTGACTCTGTGATTCGCCAGGTTCTTAGTCTCCCTTCGTCTACTGGTCTTCTGTTACAGCCTGGCTCACCGATGCCTGCTCCTTCTCCTTACATTGAGCAAACAGGGGGTCTTACTGAGCGTCGTGAGCCTGCGTCGCGTCCTCTCTCGCCTGTCAGTTCTGGTCGTTCCAATCGTCGTGTTCCTCGTCCGAGTCAGCCGGCTGTCCCCGGCACCCACCTCGTAGTGCGTCCTCCTTCCTCTCCTCCACAGCAAGTTCCTCTGCCGTCTCCTCCTGCGTCTTCTTTGCATGACGTTCTAGAGCTTGAGTCGGACCGCGCTCGTGCTGCTCATCCTACTGTCACGCGTCTGCTAGCCACAGTTGTCACTGACCCGTCGTTTGAGTCTGCTTCTGCATCTGCCTTAGTCACTGAGCTTGTTAACTTTGCTGCTGCCTGCCGTCTAGACTACGCCACTAGTCTTGTTGCTGAGTCTGAATTTGTCTATCCTCCGTCCGTCGAGGGTGAGTGTGCTCTTAGCACGGACGTCCTTGAGGATAGGCAGGAGGACCTTGAGTGTCTTGCAGCCGCTGCGCCTCATCTCGTGTCCATGCTGCTTGCCCCTGAGGGAGACCCGGATGCACCAGACATCCCGACTCCGCGATTTTGAACCTCAATGGCAGACAGCCATGGACGCAGAGATGGCATCCTAGAAGTCCACAGGCACTTACGTCGACGAGGTTCCCCCTCCTCGGGTGAGCATCGTCGATGGCATGTGGATTTTCAGGGTGAAGCGGCCGCCAGGTTCTCCGCCTGTCTTCAAGGCTCGTTACGTTGCTCGAGGCTTTAGTCAGCGGGAGGGAGTCGACTTCTTCCAGACCTTCTCCCCGACCCCGAAGATGACCACTCTTCGAGTGCTGCTGCACGTTGCCGCTCAGCGTGACTACGAGCTTCACTCTCTTGACTTCAGCACAGCCTTCTTATAGGGCAGCCTGCACGAGGAGATATGGCTGCGCCGCCCACCTGGCTTCACTGGGTCGTTCCCTCCTAGTACCCAGTGGAGCCTCGGGCGGCCAGTCTACGGTCTCCGTCAGGCGCCGCGTGAGTGGCACGACACACTGAGGACTACACTTGCGGCTTTTGGGTTTGCTCCGTCGAATGCTGACCCGTCGCTGGTTCTGCGCACCGACACTTCATTGCCGCCGTTCTACATCGTCGTGTACGTCGACGACTTGGTCTTTGCCACTGCTGACACTAAGGCTCTTGCCTTGGTGAAGTCGGAGCTGCAGAAGAGACACACGTGCACAGACCTGGGTGAGCTGCGTAGCTACCTTGGCTCGCAGATCACCCGGGATACAGCACGCCGCACCATCACACTGACTTAGTCACACATGGTGCAGCAGGTCCTTCAGCGCTTCGGCTTCAACTGGTCCTCGACACAGGCCACTCTTCTGGCTACAGGTCACTCGCTCTCAGCTCCACCTTCGGACGAGTCCAAAGAGCCGAGTGGTCCTTACCCAGAGCTAGTGGGCTGCCTCATGTACCTGATGACCTGCACTCGTCCTGAACTTGCGTACCCTCTTGGCCTTCTGCCTCGCTACGTGGCTCCTGGTTGGCACCGAAAGGTGCACATGGATGCTGCTAAGAGGGTACTACGCTACTTGTGCAGTACATCGGGCATGGGGCTCGTGCTTGGAGGACGGAGCGACGTTGTCCTCACTGGGTTGACGACCAAGCTACGCAGCGGTCGTCACAGGGTTACAACTTCAGCCTTGGCTCTGGTACAGTTTCTTGGCGTTCTACACGCTCCTTTTCAGCTCTCAGCTGCAATTGTGAGGCTGAGATCTACGCCACAGCCATGGCTGCGCAGGAGTTACGCTGGCTTACCTACCTGCTGACCGACTTGGGAGAGCGGCCTGGTTCTCCTCTAGTGCTGTACGTAGACAACAAGGCCGCCATTGCCTTGTGTCAAGAGCACAGACTGGAGCACAGAACGAAGCACATCGCTCTACGTTACTTCCTTGCTCGAGAAATGCAGCAGCGTGGTCAGCTTCGTCTTGCTCACGTGGCCAATCAGGCCAGCACTGAGGATATATTCACCAAGGCACTTCCGCCTGGTGATCATCAGCGCTTTTGTACGTTGTTGGGTCTTGTGCCTACGTTTCCTCACTTGCTGTAGGCTCTCTCTTTACTATGATCTATATATATACCTGCATGCTTACTCTTGGTAGGTAGAGATCACTGTGCTGTTGTTGTTGCATATATACCTCTGCATGTGAACTGGCCTTGTGGCCCTTTGCTTATGCTCAGTGTGTGTGGTGACGTTGTGATCCACCCTGAGCTTGCTTTGTTTCTCTTGACTGGTCTGGTGACCCCTTGCTCTCCCCCACTTTGCCTATGGGGGTGTGTTAAATTAAATGTATGTCATATATGTGTAGGCTGTAGTGGGGTAGCCAGCATGGGGTAGAATCCCATTAGGGTTTCACATTTGTACCCAACTCTTTCATAGTTCATTCATTCCCGCTGCTACATTCTGACAGGTAAATGAAGAGGTGGGCTTTTAATCCCGAGGGTCAACGTTGGAACGATAAAGCACTTTGCAGCCATCTCTCCCCGGATTTGCCGCTCCTAAATCTTCTCCTAAATTAAGCATTGCTTCGCTACTGCCGCCGCTGGTGCTTCCGCTCCCACCTCTAGTCGCTATGTGACGGTAGTGACTTTCGTTTCCATTGTCGAAGCCTGCTTTGCCGCGTATGGCAGCTGCATTTACCAAATCGGAGCACGCAATATCGCGGAAAAATGGCATGCTATGCATTCCCTTATACGGGAGGCCAACTCTCTCGCACGAATCTAACCAATCTCGGAGGGCTGCGATATCTGGACTCGAGCCGGCCGAAAAATTGTACACCCAAACTAGCAGCATCGCGAACGCCATAGTCGCCAGAAGAGACACTCCGAAGGCCCGTTTCGCGACTAACCAGATCGACGACCGCCAGGAGCCCTTCGCCATACCTGCCATTGGAGGGTCCAGAGGAAAGTCACGGTCTATCACGAACAGATTACTACAAAGTATTGGGAGAGAGATTTGGCCTGGCGCGCTTCGCCATCCAGAGTTCAGCTCTCCACACTGCACTCGCCTCTATCCCTACGAAATAACATCGATCAATTCAGATAGGATCTCTGTTTCAGGGGATGCAGTTCTTGTAGTGGATTTAGGACGCGTCACCTGCCTTGATCGATCCTGCGAAGGATCGATTTTTGATTCGGTTAAAAAAAAATTCAAACAAATTTTTATGCAACATGCGGGTTTTTAGTGTGGTGGACGATCGATCTTCCTCGATTTTGCACGACCAATCGAGGGAGGTGACGTGTCCTATGCTCGGGAGGATTTGTACAGGTATCCAGTATGTGCACGGGCGATGCGGGCTAAACTGTAGTAAGTCTGGAAAGAGCGGGTACAAAGAGGACGTCCGAATGGGGTGGAAAAAGGTTCGGACTCTATCTAGAGCGGTCTAATAAGAACTCCTGATGGTTGGGTAGGGTTTTCCGAGAATACGTACATTGTTGGACCCGCCCTCAGTGAAGCTGCTTTAAGTTTCGACGAATTGTTCAAACCCTGATTAATTGAATCGCTAGTCCGGCGAAAAATCGCCAGACTTGACGTTGTGGCGAGAAGAAACATGGAACGCCAGAACGCAAGATGATAACCACGTTTGATGAAACTTGGCTATTTTCTCGTGGTGACGATCGCCGGAAGCACGATCCCCATTGCGGGTTGTAGTTGATTGTAGTTGATGCAAAAGTACCACGCCCTGCCGTGGAGAAGATAGATTGTCGAAACTCGAAGGATGGGTAGGCTGTGGAAGGCTGTGGTTGCCAAGCGTGAAAGTAGGCAGTTTTTGGATAATGTTCCCTCACCATTCCCCTGCCACTTTTCCTCACCTGGTAGCACTACCGGGAGCTGCCGGGTATCAGACAAAGCTACCGAGTACTGTTAGGGCAGGACAGGAAATAATAAATCCGAGTCACTTGGCGCCGCTGCTTTTCCGGAAGCCTCGCTGGCAGCTATTGCGGTGCATCAGATATGGGCAGAGCGGTGTAATTGTGTTTTCCGGGAGAAGAGGTTCTGGGCTCGGCGCGTCCTCAGACGTATTGAGGCAGCTTTCCGGCTGCATATGAAGGTGTACACCCGGGCAACGGGGAGAAAATCGGACAAGGGGGGTGGTTCGAAACAACACGGAAGGACATGGGCGCTAGCACGACAGGAGAACTGTTTGCTTGGACGTATTCGAAGCATGAATGAGAAGGGTTGAAGTGGACCCGAGATTTTGGGGCGCCGTGGAACCTCGCGCGAGGTGCTCTGCATCCGCCTTAGATACTGCCCCTGGGGCCGTTAGTAGCTCTCAGCCTCTCACGCTCAGTTACGATTGACATAAGTTTTCGCATAGGCATGTATCATCGGTGTATTGTGAACATATAAAAAAAAAACTATCCACTGTTTATTTCTTTCGGAAGTTTTAGCACAGAACCCGGGGTAATAAATACGGGGGATACGATAAAACCTTCAAACCCTTCTGAATCGTTAGAATGACTTCGCTGGGCTACTTCGGTTGACTCCAACGAACAAGGCATCTCCAACTCCAACTCGGCATCTCCAACAAGGCTCATATTCATTCTCTCCAGTTACGACTGTGGATGAATCTATGTTTTGATAATATAGTTACAGCAAAAAAAAAAAATCTTCATTCTCTCTCGCCACCATCTTGCCAACAGCACTGAGGTTTACCGGTACTGGTGTCGCCATTTGCCAAGCTAAGTAGACATTGTAGCATTACCGTTCATTCCGCCGCAACCCTATTTGCGAGGGCTCTGGCTCAGTCATGATACTACAAACTGTATACAGTGTGTACTATGCACGCCGATGTCTCTTTCGTGTCATGTCGTCATTCATGTCAAACTTATATGCTATAGTCTGTGTAGGCTGTAGTGGGGTAGACTGTATGGGGTACAACACTTCTAGGTTTTCCTACTTGTACCCACCTCTTTCCTAGTTCATTCATTCCTCATTTCTTCACATGGTATAGAGCAGGTTCCCTAGTGGGAACGCTTCCTTGGGCCCACCACTGATTTTTTTTTTCTGACCGGAGCGCCAGTCGCTCCTGCCCGAGGCGCGCCTTGTGGGCCGCCCTTCTCTCGAGCTCTCTTAGAGGCCCCTCTCACGGCCCCTCGTGCCGCCCCTACCGGGCCCGTCGCCGCCCTTCCAGACCCCTCGCGGCCCCTAGTGGCCCCGTCGCCGCCCCTACGCGGCCCCGTCGCCGCCCCTAGTGGCCCCGTCGCCGCCCCTAGCGGCCCCGTCGCCGCCTCTTGAGAAGAAACGAGAATGATTGAACTATGAGTGAATTGGGTACAACTACTAACCCTAATTGGGCTGTACCCCTTATGGGCTACCCCACTATAGCCTACAGAATATGCATAAGCTACAATGTTCTGACACACCCCCATAGGCAAAGTGGGGGAGAACAAGGGGTCACAGGACCAGTCAAGCAAAGCAAAGCAAAGCAAGCTCAGGGTGGATCACAAAGTCACCACACATTCCGAGCACAAGTTCAAGGCCACAAGGCCACCTCACATGCAGGATTACATATATATATAAGGCTAGACAAGCAAGTG